CAAGTGATGTACACCTGTGGGATAAGAATTTATCGTAATCAGTGGGAACTACAGAGTACCGGCACATGCAGTTGTGGTCATGGTACAGTTCAGTGTACAATACATGTACAATGTAGATGCTTTCAAACTGTATCACACCAGAATGGTATTTGTTCTGTCATATCTGCACAGACTGCCAAATCTGATGCAATATTTTGCCTCAGCGTTAGGCTTGAAGATGAAGCATTTGATAACAAAGCAAGAGACAGTTCAAGCGATGTGCAAGCAAAATGCAAGGCCCCAGATCGATGTGACCCTCCCACGTACAGGCTACTGTCTCCCAACCCCCCCCTCCATCTCTATCGTCACACTGATCCTTGTAAGACAAGATGTGGGACAGCCAGTGCACTATCTGATAGTGCCATCAGCAAGACCTAGAGACAAAGATGCAGAAAATGAAGTCGGGGGAGGGGGCCCAAAAAATGTAGAGGAGAAGTAGTAGGGAGATGATACAGTTGATCGTTATAAAATTTCAAAGTCTGCTGTTGCGATATGCATGTACATCGTGTGCATGTAGGAGTTTGCTCATGTACAGCGTGCAGTCTTGGAACGTGTCAGCATGAGCCACGCTGTGTAACAGACCCACTGCCCCGCATGAATAAACCGCCGTCTTTCTACCTGCAGTGCAGCAGTGCGGCGCTAGTGTCATAGCGTGTAACTGATGAGTGCGGATGCTAGACTGGACGTGCAAGTACACCAGGGGAATAGAGCTGATCGGGTTACATACCGTACATGTAGTCAGCTGAACTTTTCAGCTTGCTTAATATGCACCGCAGAGTCCTGGTTTTGTAATTTTTTTTTTTCATCTCCCCTCCTTTTAGTTTTTTTTGAGCAGTGAAATTTTATTTGTGAACAAATGTGATGATGAAACCAAGTCATTTTGCGAGAAGTGCTTCATTTTTTTTTTTGAAATGTAACGCTGGAGACTTATTGGTACATGTATCATATAAGAAATGTACAGTGTCAATATTTGAAAGCTTGGAACAGAAGTTACGTAACATTTTACTGAACTGAGGGTTGCTTTTTAACAGTGTTGTCCTTGTCTTTCTGTCTATGTGTCACCTTTTGTTTTGATACATTGAACATGACAATCATGTGGTGATGTCATTGATTGTTAGTACAGTTTTTGTTGTTGGATAATGAATTTTTCCGAACAACTTGCCGCAGTGCACTGGCGCTTGTTTTTGTGTCCAGGCATGTGTACAGTTCTGTTCCAAATCTTTAACTACAGTATCTACATGTAAATCTTTCGCAGTGCCATTCCTCTGAAAGTTATATAATAAAAATACTTATTTTAAATATCATGACTTTCAGAAGTCAAGAGCAAAACTTGATTTATATATACAGTGTACATGTATGTTGAATACACATGCTATGCTACATGTATGAGTACATGCTCAGTTTATTTTTGCAAACAGCTTGCTCAAATTTAAAAGCTTGTTGAAAGAATGATTGCAAGGGTCAGTGGTCTTTGCTGTTTATTTAAAAAAAAATCTTTCAATTATTAATCTTGTAGTTGTGGGCACAGGTAGTGAAAGAGTTGCTGCAGTAATCGCGTATTCAGGTCTTGGGGAAAAGGCCAACATGGATTTTTTTGGGCCAAAAATTTCTGTCCACTCTTTCAATCCTCGGAAGAATTCTCATCCCCTCCAAAAAAGGTAGTAATATCATATCTAAAATATTGGCGCTTTCAATCTGTTATGAAACGTAACAAATCAGGGCAAATTTCTGGATTGTTACTGGCTAACAGTGAGCTGAATCCTAGGTAGATTTAGTTTAGGCAGGTTATTCCCAAATATGAGAATCAAAGAAACTATGGACTTACATGTACATGTCTAGAAATACATGTAGCTGTGATGCTGTTTGTAGAAAGAGTGGAAACGTTCACACAAATTATGAAAAAAAAGGGTTATTCAGACACATGGATTTTTTTTTTCACAGAACATACATGTACATTACTGCAACATTTTAAAGTGAGAGGAGTCTGGGTGGAGTCAGTCTTCAGTTTTTCCCCCGATTCCAGTTCCGTCTCATGTTTTGTCAATTTTTTTTTTCCTGTACTCGTATGTACATGTACATGTAAGTACATGTAGACCTAAATTGGGCAGACTCTTACGTGAGTTGTTGGTGTATTTTATTTATGTGTACACATCCAGGTTAATTTGGTTGGAGTTTTGGTTCAACTCCCATGAACTCCCGTTCGTCATAGCTCTCCTTAATAGGCACGCATAGGGCCTCCACACAGTCACAAATGGGTTTATAAAGTTAAAAATGCATGATAAATAAAGTCTCTTACAGATTGCTTTGAAATTTGCACATGTTTATTTCGTGTATTTCATTTGCAATTTTCCCAAATTTTATCGTGAAACGTAACGGTTTCAGTTTTACTGTAAAGAATGCGCGTCATGTGAATCTGTGTTCACGCTCTGGTCTGGAAGGTCATGACCCGGCACTACCTTTCGTCGCACTTTGTACAAACTCGTTTTCGTGGCCAGACTTTCCGAAAGAAATCTGAGCATTTCTGCATAGATCCGAAGTTACTCTGCAATGTAGTGTGTGTTCCAGGTCAATCGGTTCACGGACAGTGGAGC